TCGAGTCTGTCCCTGGGATACTGGGCTCCAGATTGCTGAAATCACAACAGCGATTAACTTAAATATTGAAACAGGAGAGGCTCACAAGCACTCCTACTTCTGAGGGCGGTGCGCGAGCAAAATTGCAAAAGGATAGTGAGAAATTTACCTTGCTTAAGGGTTGAGGGTTTAGGGTTTAGGGTTTAGGGAAACATGCGGGTTTAGGGCTTAGGGAAGATTGGGGTTTTATGTAGGGATCTGGCCACCCTTCCTCCCCCTCCTCTCCTCACCTCCGCCCCTCCCCCTCCCCCCCCCTCTCCCCCCCCCCCCCCCCCCCACCAAAAACTTCGCAGCGCACAGTTACAGGGTTTACGGTTTAGGGGTAAGGAATCCTCAAATCTCTAAACAATAAACCTTAACCCTCAACCCTCAACCCTCACCCTAAACCCTAAACCCAAAACCCTAAACCCTAAACCCTAAAACCCTAAACCCCAAACCCCAAACCCCAACCCCTAACCCTAACCCATAAAGGGCCCCATCACAGAGGCCCTTGACCTTGAATATTCCCTGGCCCCGGATCGGGGCTCCATGGTTTAGGGTTTAGGGTTTAGGGTTTAGGGTTTAGGGTTTAGGGTTTAGGGTTTAGGGTTTAGGGGATTCCCCCCCAGAACAACCGATAAGCCAGTCTGACTTGGTATTTCCAAGCAATACTGATTAGCCCAGTAACCATACGATGATAAGACTACACTTGTTTGGGTTTTGTTGCTTTCAAGGGAACCTTGAACCAGAACAAAAGGGCAAAAGGGCAAAAGGGTACCACTGGGCTACCAAGAATATTCGAGCTCTCCCCCCCCCCCCCCCCCCCAAGGGCATGTCTAGTAGGTACACTGCTTGTAACCCCAGCCACGGGTGAACCTCCACATAAACCCCAAACCCTATAGACCCTAGGCTCTAAACCCTAAACCCTAGACCCTATCCCTAAACCCTATAGACCCTAAACCCTGAACTCGCTGCACCTCCGGCGGCACCGGGATGTACGAAGCCCTTGGGGCGACGGGCGAGAACCCTAAACCCTCAAGGGCTTATGCCGGGTGCAGGGCTTAGGGTTTAGGGTTTAGGACTTGGGATTTGGCCCTTCCCAAGATGAACCCAGACATGAAAAAGCCCTAGCATTTTAGTAAATATACCAACCATCCCCCCCACATCTTTCGTAGCCACGGCTGTCGTCCGGTAACCCTCAAACCTAAACCCTAAGCCCTAAGCCCTAAGCCCTAAGCCCTAAGCCCTAAGCCCTAAGCCCTAAGACCTAAACCCTAAGCCCTCAGCCCTGAACCCTCAGCTATAAACCTTTAAGCGCGCCGGCTTTTGCCATACTAAAGTGCGAGGCCCTGTTATTCTAAATGTGGCCCTTGCTCGCAAGGTGGCTCTAAACCCTAAACCCTTTAGTTTCTCGGGTTTCAGATCTCGAGCTTGGGTACCTCACGCAAGCCGCTTATCACCTTGTGTAAGCCGTTCATAAGGGTCCTTTCCTCGCGAAGCATCCCACAACTAGGATAGAAGAGCCCTGTTTGGAGTTTCATGAGTACATAAAGTGAGTAAAAAACTGGTTAAAACCTGGTTTGGATACTTGCCGTCCTACTTGTAACTATCCATGGCAACTTGCAAGAATGCCCACAAACCTCCCAAAGTCCAAACCCTAAACCCATGACCAACCAGTGGGTTTAGGGTTTAGGGTTTAGGGTTTAGGGTTTAGGGTTTAGGGTTTAGGGTTTAGGGTTTAGGGTTTAGGGTTTAGGGTTTAGGGTTTAGGGTTTAGGGTTTAGGTTTTAGGGTTTAGGGTTTAGGGTTTAGGGTTTAGGGTTTAGGGCCCTCTGCATCCTCTTCAGGCAGGATCATTCTCGGGGCCGCGCGCGTCGATCGGAACCTCAAGATATCGGCAATTGGGGGGGCAAACCCTAAACCCTAAACCCTAAACCCTAAACCCTAAACCCTAAACCCTAAACCCTAAACCCTAAACAAGGCAGCCCAGGTTTGGTCAGCCAGGCCACCCAGAAACCCAATCAACAGGGTGCTCAGCGTGCTCTTGGACTGGACTGCATAATTGTGGCTCATAAACCCTGAGCCCAGGGTTTAGCGTTTAGGGTTTAGTGTTTAGGGTTCCTAGGCCCAAAAAAGGGGGGGATAAGGGCACGAGGGTACTACTGGGCATCCTAGGGGTTCTTTGATTGTTTAATTTCGGCTCATAACCCCCTATACCCTAAACCCTAAACCCTAAACCTGAAACCCTAAACCCTAAACCCTAAACCCTAAACCCTAAACCCTAAACCCTAAACCCCAAGCCTTGGGATGCTCCTCCTTATACTAACAGTCCTTAGTCGGGATTACAATAGGGAGGATGGTAGTCACGATTAGGGGCTGTTAGTATAAGGGGAACATCCCAACTCATAAGCTTATGTTCCCAGTGACCCAGTGTTTAGGGTTTAGGCTTTGGGGTCCCAAAACCCGCAAACCCTCAACCCCAAAGCCCAAAACCCCCAGGGTGGCATGCCCAGATAGGACCTCGTGCCTCAAGCAGGAAGGGTTTCAGGGTTTCAGGGTTCAGAGGTCCGTTGAGCAGGGTTAGAAGTAGGGTCTGGGGTTTAGGTTTAGGGTTGAGGCCCGGTTTAGCATCCACAAGATGTATCGCCCGTGAAGGAGCTTTAGCCCTGCCCATACTTGGAGGTTCATGGTACTTATTAACCAATTATAACTGTACTTATAACTTATAACCCTATTAGGGCACTTAAGGGGCTTATCCGCCGACCCCCTTTGTCGGCGTCAAGAAGCTGGACTCTTACTTTTCTCGCTGGACCCGCAGTTACCTTTCCCCACGGCACTGCGCGGCCTGCCCCTTCCCTGCCCTAGTTGTTTTTGGAAGGCGGCCACGCGGATGGAACTGCGCGTTTTTTGTTGGCACCCTTCCCCCCCCCGACCCCTCGCTGGCCTGCCCCTTCCCTGCCCTAGTTGTTTTTGGAAGGCGGCCACGCGGATGGAACTGCGCGTTTGTTGTTGGCACCCTTCCCCCCCCCGATCGCCGCAATTACCTCTCCCCACGGCACTGCGCGGCCTGCTTCTTCCCTGCCCTAGTTGACCAAAAACAACCGAATTTTGGAAGCATCACGTGTTGGCTGCACCCTACCCACCGGCCAACCCCCCCCCCCCTTACCCCCTTCCTCCCGCCCCCTACCCCCCCCTGCCTACCAAAAACAACCGAATTTGTTTGCGTTGGCTGCACCCTACCCCCCCCCCCCCCCCCCCCTACCTACCCGGTGTTGTCAGGCGCACACTCCGTCGCCTGGTAGAAGGAGAACAAGTGCCGATGTTTGCGCAGCCAGTCTGTTGCTGCGGAAATATCTCCTTGCAGTACCTACCCATGGGCAACAAGAAAAAAAGCACTGCCACGACATTTGGCCATGTATGTGCTGCGCCTCCCTGATCTGCGCCAGGCGACGTCGGCCCAGCTTGCCATTGTCCTGCGCAGTCTTGCCGCGCCCGACCGGCCTCGAGTGCTCCGAGCTGCTGCTACAACCTCACCGACACACAAAACGCCCGGCGCAGGCTTCGCCAGATGTTTCCGCGCCGTCCGAACCTGCTGCCAGGCTGCTTGTAAGGCAGTCGCCCTCCCGCCCTGAGAACAGCCTCCACTGCGGCCGCTGCTTTTTGCCAGTCCAGACGTGGATACTCCACGAACCGGAAAGAGCCGATTTCTCTCAAAAAGGCGTCAAAGTTCGCCTGGGCAACCACTCGGTACACGCGCCGCTGAACCACGCGCAACACACACACACACATGCATGTCTGCGCGCCTGACTGACCAGGATGCACCGCAGAAGAGATACATTCAGAAAGGCACAGCGCCATGTCTGGCTGCGGAGATCTTCCAGCAGCCACGAGGCCCTGTCTGCCTCGCGATGCACCTGTGGGAGAGGCGTTGGGCTGCTTCAGCGCAAAAAATCCTGCTGCGACGTCTCATTCCTGTCTGCAACTCGCGGAACTACTTTCCGCATTGTCGGCCGAGACGCATTTGTGATGCGCCAAGTGCAGAGACGCTCTGCGGCCCAGCACGGCAGGCCGAAGTCTTGCGCCTAGCTTCGGAGCAGGCGGCGCGCGCCGCCCCTCCTCCCAGAAGGCCGGGGAGGACGCTGGCTCTGTCCTACGCTTTGTTCCTGTCTTGCACACCCTGTTTCAAAACCGAGCATCCAGACGCAGAAACAGCAGCTGCAGGCGTGCCGCAGCGGTTCGGAAGATTTTGCAGCTGTGTGCTGTGTGTGCTCGCACCGCTGCGCATGGGCTCGCACGTTGGCGCGCTAATATATGGCTCGGTGCGCTAGCAACGATGGCCTGTGGGAATCTTCGCAAGCGCCTCTGCGTCAAATCTCCTCCCACAGAGGCAGCGCGGACTTGGCAGATGTGCCGCCGGCATGCCTGCACACCCAGCCTCTATAGTCCGTGCTCTGGCGAGCCTGAGTGGGAAAACTCTACCACAGGACTCTCTCAGCAATGCATTTGCACCTCGCAGCAGCGGCCGGCGCTCAATGCGCGAAGCGATGCGCGCTGGGCAGCCAACGTCCGGCATCTGGCGGCTGCCCGCCGTGCTGCGCGCTGTGCGTTCCAGACCGGCGACATCAGCCTTGCAGCCCGGGACTGCTCACGGAACACATTGAACTGGGCCCGGAACCGGGCGCTCCTCCCCTCACACGCAAGCTTATTGCCCGCAAATCTTTTTTGCGTCGTCGGTGCTCGCAGCTCTTGCTCGTACGCACGCACCTACGCCGGAGAGATGAGGCTTCATTTGCCTTTGGGAGAAATCTCACATCGATGAGGTCTGAAAACACACGGACAGGACGTTCCGATGCAACACGGCTCTACACTACTCTCCACCTACCTCCACGGCTTCAGCAACCGGGGAGATATCGGCCACCGTCCAGTACAAGGACCCATTTGGGTACCCCGGAGCACCCAACGAAACTCCTTGCCGTCCTTGCTCATGAGTCCTCCCTGTTTGTTTGCAGCAGCACCGCCGGAGGCTCTTCCAAGTTTGCAGCAACAATAGACCAGGGCAGTCTGAAGTTTGGACTGTGCGCAGACAGCACATGGCACAGCTGCTTCCAAGTTTGGCACGTGGAAAGCTCTCGGTTCAAGAAGACCTCGGGCAACACTTCCTCCTGGAAGCAGTTGCACCCGGCAGCAACCACCACGGCATTCCACGGCGCAGTCGAGCCCTCGGCTGACCGACGCTCCGCCTCTCGTCCCTGCAGCTCTGTCACTGCGGCAGCCACGACCTTGTCCATAGCCTCCTGCGCACAGTCTCTGGCGAAGTGCAGCGCCGGCTTCTTCTTCTTCTTCTTCTGCCCGTGCGCTTCTGGCACCACTGCCATGATGGGTTTGTCCAGTTCTGGCACTTGAAAGGACACGCGGGCGATGTGTAATGCGCGATACACATCGTTCGGTACCGACATCTTTGCAGGCACAATCCCAAGCTGCACGCGCGTCGGCATATTTTTCGTAGCCGCCCTTGAGGACCCAGTTCTACATAAACAGATCTAAGATGGAAGCCTTCGCTGCAGGTCCTTCTTCTGGAGACTTCCTCCACACGCGATTGCTGCCAGCACTTCACCCCCCTCGGGCACAGCACGAGAAACAATCCCGGCGCCGGCGGAAGCATCTCCTAACCAGCCGTATGCCGTGGAGTCGGCCAGCACGATCGTCGCTGCGGGCGCTGTCACTGTCGCCATAGCCGCGTGCAGGTTAAACAAAATGTACTGTAAGCAAAGTTGAGGAAAACACAAAAATTGACACATTCCATGTTTTTATTGTTTGTCTCGTTCGTGTGTTGCAGTGCATAGTACTGCATCCTGGTAGACACCATGCCAGGACTCCTTGATCAAACGCTTAGAGAAACCCCAACCCTGTGACGGATCTGCTCGCCCCGCGCGTCTGCCTGCGCTGCCCGCCCATGGGCGCAGCCCCTTAAAATAAGTGGGTTAGAAGTACGGCTCCTCAAGGTTAAACTACTAATTGCTTAAGAACCCCCCCCCCCAAAAAAAAAAAAAAAAAAAAAAAAAAAAACAAAAAAAACAAAAATGATTCACTCCTCCTTATAAGGGCAATATAAGTTTTGTTTCTCTTTTTTTTTGGGGGGGGTGGGGGGGGGTGGGGGGCGGGGCGGGGGCGGAGGGTTCTTTTAGTAAAGGGAAACCCCAAAATCCTCAAACCGCTATGAGACCCTAAGCCCCGAAACCCTTAAGCCCGAAAGCCTCTGAACCCGAAAACCCTGAAACCCTCAAACCAGCAAACCCCAAAACTTGGGATGTTCCCCCTAATACTAACAGTCCTTGATCGGGATTATGATATGGGGCACAAAAATCCCTGCTAAGGACTGTTAGTATAAGGGGCAACATCCCAGCCCAAAACCCGAACCCCTAAACCCTAAACCCTAAACCCCCAAAGACCCTAGACCCCTAAAGCCTCAAACCCTCATCTCGGGGCCCAGGCATGCTGCCCCTTAGGCGCTTCACCTCTTTCAGGGTTTGGGGTTTAGGGTTCAGGGTGTAGGGTTTAGGGTTTAGGGTTTAGGGTGACAAGCTAGAACTAATTTAGTCGTTTCGTTTCGGGGTACCATCTCCCTCCCCCCCACGCCTCTATGCCGCAACTCGAATATCAACCCTGAACCCTTAACCCTAAGCCTCTTTAGTGTGCGTCAGATCAGATTGGCACAAGGAGATCCACTGCGCCCGCGCAAGGTCCTTTCTTGTAAGCTCTTGTGACTTAGTAAGTAGGGTTGGTAAGGTGGGTTATGGAGAATATACAACCCCTTACTACACCTTATACAGGCCCCACCTAACTCGCCCCCAAATAACCCCTAATTAAGGTCCCTTCAACGGGTCCTTCACTCTTCTCTCTCTCTCTCTCTCTCTCTCGCTCTCTCTCTCTCTCTCTCTTTCTAACTCTCTCCCATTTAGTCCCTTGAAAGGTCTTCTGCGTCTGGGGGGAGAGCCTAAGAAGCTGCCATGCCACATTCGCAACGCACTGACACCGAGGCTCCTGAACCTGAAGTGCCCATTGGCCTGCCCTGCAGGCCCTAAACCCTAAGCCCTAAACACTAAACCCTAAACCCGAAAGCGCAGAGCCTGCTTCTTCCCCGGCAGGCCGTGGAATGCTTGGTGCGCCGCCTTATAGTTGTCGTCTAGGGGTTTGGGGTTTAGGGTTTAAGGTTAACGGGTTAACGGGTTTACGGGTCAACGGGTTCACGGGTTAAGGGGTTAAAGGGTTAAAGGGTTAACGGGTAAAGGGTTTAGGCCCCTACTATCCGCATTTCTCCCTTCAAGTTAACACCCCCCCTGTCCCTAAACCCGAACCCCTAACCCCTAACCCCTAAACCCTAAACCCTAAACCCAAAACCTTAAACCCTGCACCCTTTAAACCTTGAGGTTTGGGCATCAGGTTTGGAGCCTTGGGATGCAGCAGGGTTTAGGGTTTAGGGTTTAGGGTTTAGGGTTTAGGGTTGAGGGTTGAGGGTTGAGGGTTGAGGGTTGAGGGTTGAGGGTTTAGGGTTTAGGGTTTACTGTACCAGCTTCGATTTGGGTTTCACCCCTAAACCCTAAACCCTGAACGCTAAAAAACCCTAAAATCTAAAACCTAACTCCCCAAACCAGACCAAAAGCCCAACACCCCAAACCAAAAAACAACTGAACTCGGCCATAAACCCTAAACCCTAAACCCTACGAACCCCAAAAACCCCAGTCCTTCACAAGCCCGCGCTTGGTTTTGGTGAGGCCGCTGCTCGTGCGGCTGCCACGGAGCCGCAGCGCCAACAAGGCCTGGTCGAAAGGGCGCCGGGCGTTTTTGCGGCTTAGGCGTGGGGTTCTGCCCTAAACCCTAAACCCTAAACCCTAAACCCTAAACCCTAAACCCTAAACCCTAAACCCTAAACTAAAACCCAGGATTTTTTGGGCTCAGGGCTTAAGGTGTAGCATTCATCTCATGTGAGACGGTTTCAGCACAGGGCCTGTGGAAAGACCAATTCCCTGCTACAGGGGTGCTGGTCGATATCTTGGGTGCGATGTAAAGCCCAAAGTTTAGGGTTTAGGGTTTAGGGCCAGGCCTTGCGAGTACATCAAAACCGCCAGCGGGGTTTGGAGTTCAACTTGCAATGTCGGCTATGAACCTGCGAAATCCGAGCAGTTTTCTCAGGCTCGGGAAGCCAGCAGACAAAACACAACGCCCCCCCTGCCCCAGGTCCATGTGATCAAACACGCCTTATCGCCTGGCTCAGGCTGCTGTCAGGAGCGGCGTGGAGTATCTTTGACCCTAAACCCTATCCCCGAAACCCTAACTAGACCCAAGAATAACCTAGGAATGTAAAAGGTGACCTTTCTTGGGTTGAAGGGGCTTCTAAGGAAACCCAAACCTTAACAAAAGCGAATAAGGGCCTACTCTGGTCCTAGCTGAACCCTGTTGTTACCCCCTGGCAGCCGTCGGGTTGGGGTTCCGAACCTGCAGTTCGTCATGCATGCAGTCTTACCCTTAAGGGTTTAGGGTTTAGGGTTTAACCGTGCAGTCTTACCCTTAAGGGTTTAGGGTTTAGGGTTTAACCGTTTAGGGTTTAACCGTTTAGGGTTTAGGGCTTAGGGTTTGGGGTTCCTAGACCCAAACCCAAAACCCTGGGCTTGGATTTAAAGACTGGGGTGCCTCGTAGAACTTGGAACTGGAAAGCTCAGAACTTCCACGAAGGCCCGAATGACACTCTAAGCTAGGTGCAACCATCTCCCTAAACCCTAAACCCTAAACCCTAAACCCTAAACCCTAAACCCTAAACCCTAAACGTGGGCTTCACCAGGCTTCAGTCAAGCAACACGCGAGCAAAACAGGGACCGAGGGTTGTTACAAAAAGGGCCTCCTGCTGAGCTCCTGCTGCCTTCTTAGGTATATGGGAACGATATAAAGTAGATCTATACTCTTTCTCTCTCTCTCTCTCTTTTCTCTCTCTCTCTCTCTTTTCTCTCTCTTTTTGTTTCTCACTCTCTCTCTCTCTCTCTCGCTCTCTGTCTCGCCCTCTCCCTGAACCAGTTGGACTGAGGGTCCTTCCGAGTATTCCTTCGCTTGGGCATCTGGGGCCCTGGCGGAGCAGCTGGCCGGGATGCCTCAATCTAGGCCACCGGTAAGCTAGGAACAAAGAGGGTTAGGGTTTAGCGTTTAGCGTTTAGCGTTTAGGGTATAGGGTTTAGGGTTTGGGGTTTAGGGTTTAGGGTTTAGTGTTTAGGGTTCAGGGTTCAGGGTGTAGGGTTTAGGGTTCCCTGCGTACCTTGCCCCCCTTCGTCGCTTAAGAACCTGGGGTTTACGGTTTAAGGCCAAGAGGGGTTTGAGCTTCATTCCCTGGGTCTGATGACAGTACCTTGAGCCCTAAACCCTGAACCCCAAATTAGGGCACTTCACACGCGCCCAACACTTCGATCTACCCTATGCTTCAATGCCCCAAACGGGATGCAGTCCACCTTGGGTTATGCACTTACAAAAGTTTTGAACTTTACAACGCTCGTCGCAACCGTCAGGCAAGGTGTATGGGTAGGGTCTCGAATTAGGGTCCCTGTTGGGGTCCTTTTCTAGGGCGCCGTACTAGGCGGGTACCCAAAAAGGGACCATAATTCGGAGAACTGCCCGTATATCCATTGTACATTGTAACCTCGAAGGCTTTCCGAGCGCTTGGCAGGTGGATCGTCGTCTGCCTGCATCGCTACTGGCCCGCCTGCCAGCACCAAGGCGCTAAACCCTAAACCCTATAAACCCTATAAACCCTATAAACCCTATAAACCCTATAAACCCTATAAACCCTATAAACCCTATAAACCCTATAAACCCTATAAACCCTATAAACCCTATAAACCCTATAAACCCTATAAACCCTATAAACCCTATAAACCCTATAAACCCTATAAACCCTATAAACCCTATAAACCCTAAACCCTAGACCCTAGACCCTAGACCCTAAACCCAACCAAGAACAAAACAAGGAGGAAGACACACACACACCCCGCATTCAACCATGCCCACGATTGGATTCAAAACCCGAACCGAGTTGCGGATCCAAGGAGCCCTAAAACCTAAACCCTAAACCCTAAACCCTAAACCCCCTCAAAGCACAAGGCCTTGGCAAGAACGGGCCGGGCGCGGAGCAGGGCCGAAGACTTCCTTGTCCTGGACCGGCTGACTCAAAGTTAGATTTAGGGTTTAGGGTTTAGGGTTTAGGGTTTAGGGTTTAGGGTTTAGGGTTTAGGGTTTAGGGTTTAGGAGTTAAGGGCTCTGGGGTAGACCAGAAGGTTTAGGAGCCTCTGGAAAAGAGAAGCATCTGCGTGGGGTGAAGTCGTTGCTGTATGTAGTAGTAACTTCGATGAGGAAATGGGCGTGACTTGTCACCGTTCCTGTTGTTGGTGCCGGCTCTGAACACTTGTACCTGCTCTTGGTTCTTTGCTGCCATGCTGAGAACTTGCAAAAATGGAAC